TTGTGTGTTTCATCAGTACTATGCTGCACCCTGACCGGCTTGTCTCTTCCTTGTGGTCCTTCTGACAGGGGGTATCCAATTGACTACTGATGGGCTTTGGGTCTCCACTCTGCCCTCCCCCTCATTCCCATTGATATAGTTTTTTTGTTTTCTTTTGGGTCTTTGATGCCTGATATCTGATCCATAGACATCTCATGATCACACACACTGGTGTGCTTCTTCCATGTGGGCTTTGTTGCTTCTCAACTAGATGGCCGCTTGTTTATCTCAAGCCTTTAAGACCCCACACGCTATATCTTTTAATAGCTAGGCACCATCAGCTTTCTTCACATTTGCTTATGCACCCATTTTGTCTTCAGTCATCATGTCAGGGAAGGTGAATGTCGCAGAGTGCATGTTAGTAGTACAAAGTTTTCTTGCCTTGAAGGGAGTGCTTAGTAGAAGCCCAATGTCCATCTGCTGCCGTACTTTATAAATAAATATATGTACATAGATCTATCCCCTATAATTATACGTAAATGCATTTACATATATACATTCCTGTTTTTAGACCTCTATAAATGTCCTTTGCCTCCCAGTTCTTTCCTCTATTTCCTTTTACTTTCCTCCTGTCCCACTATCATGTACGACCTACATTTGGGTTTTGGTAATTCCTCTCTGCTTACTTGCCCCCTCTCTCGTGTCCCCCTGGAACCATTGGTCTTATTGTTCTCTCCTCAGGATTGTTCATCCCACCTATCTTGTCCAGATGGACATGCGCAAAAACAAAACAAAGCAAAACAACAAAAAAAGACAAAAATAATAAAAGACAAAATATAAATCAACAACAGCTAAATACAACAAAACAAATAAATAAATAAGCCGACAGCAAAAGAAGAAAAGCCCTCAAACAGTTCCAGGCCTGTCGGTTGATCTTTATGAGTGTTTTCCAGATTAGTCCTCTGGATGCCATGCCCTGGCCCCAAAGTCCACCTTTGGCGTTCCTTGGGGGCTTTGTTGCTTTGCTCCACTTGCTGCTCTGCAGTGAACCCTTAGTGTTTCGCACCGGTGCAGTGGGGTCGGATCTGGCACATCTGCACAGTGTCCCCAGTGCTGTCCCCCTCAGCACTATGTGTCAGTGAGGGATGTTGCTGGGTCTCCTGGTGGGCCTGGCCTGGTGATCCTCTCTGTGCATTGGCTGCCCTGAGCCGGAATATTGTCCTCAGGCCTTGGTGGGCTGTGATGTGTTCCACTGGTTCTCCTTCCCTCCTCCTTTGCTCCTAAGCAGACACTCCCCTCTTCCTGAGCTGCAGCTTCAGTGCTGTCCTCTGAAGTGCATTTCTCGGGGGTGGGGGCTAGGGGTGCCCATGTAGTTGGGATTGGGGGCCAGCCCCACAGACCTCTCTATTGGTTCCCTGCTTCACGGCTCTATGTTGCATTCACATCTTGGTGTGGAAGTCTGGTCCCTCCCTTTCCTGTAGAGATAAAAACTCCCCTTGAATGGGTACTGTCCTGTGCCCCTGCATATTCCACCACCCCCCCTTTTTTTAGTTGGCTGCCATATGTATCCCTGGGTTGGGTTTGGCACCTGCCATAGTACCAGGCCCTCACTCCAGGAATGTATGCTCCTTTTTGCGTTTTTCCCCCCTCAGTCATCCTTTGTGTTAAACCCAGAATTCATTTTGGTTTAACATCCTTAGTAAAGAATTAAAATAACAAGTGAATGTAATTCTTTAGTATTTACAATTAGTGGAATTTTGCAATGATCTTGATGTAGGGAGATGTAAAATAAGGAAAACATGAACAAATTATCATACAAGGGCTCCTTGTCCATAGTACTTCACTTACTCGATAAAGAAGTGAAACTTGACAAATGCCTCATCAACTACCTGGTGTTTCCAAAACAATTTCAGGTTTTTCCTGGCTGCTAAGTTTGTTTTACATAGAGAGCTAGAAAAGCAGAGTGAGATCTTCCTTTACCCTTTGTAGCGGTGATGATATGTGCCATCACGTTAACTCCTGCTCATAAGGATCAAGTGGAATTGCCTCACAGGGTTTCCTAGGCTGTCATCGGCATAGGAGCATATCCCACCCCGTCTTTGCTTCCTCATGACCCCTACTGGTGGGTGCTGACCCCACCCCTTTGCTTACCAGCTGCAGGCCAAACATTGTGTCACCATAGCGCCTTAAGTTTGACCTGTTTGGGTTTTGTTAGATGACTAAAGTTTGTTAACTCCAATACTTTAACACCAGGTAGTTGATGAAGCATTAGCTCCAACACTTTCATCTTAGGACTAGATAGTATCTAATGTTACCTGTTACCAATGTTCTTTCTTTAATTTTTTTGTTTCATTGCCCTATGCTTTTCTGGTATGCTTTTAATACTCAGTAAATAATAGCGCCATAGAACAGAGATGAACTCTAAAACTAAATTCATAGTCATTATATTGCAGTGAGTGATTATCTTATCCTACTGTTGTCAAAACAATGGACATTTGAACATTGTACAAAAACAAAAGGGACAGTGCATTTTCCTGAATCAAGTTCACCTTGAGTTTAATCATTCTCTGAGATAACATGTGTTGAAGAGCTATTTTTAATTCAGTACATTGTTTAAAAGTTTTCGTGCAAGTTATTTTGGTTACTTTAATATTTTTTTATTTTGGTCTTCGTGTAGAAGCCCTGTGTTGACTGTGAGCCCAGGTGAATTGTAGAAGGGGAGATTGAGCACTAGGTGTCATTCTGGGCTCCTGCAGCTTCTTGGACTTGGACCAGGAGAGGAGGAAACAATAGTGTAGTAATTTTAAGTAGTTTGTAATAAAAGAAGTTAGAAGTTAAAATATATAAATCTTCCAAGCTTGAGAATTAAGTATAAGCCTGAAAATCTTGACCTCTGCTTGTACTTACTTTGGTGGAAGGTTTATTACGACCAGACTTCCTAATTTCCCTAAACACATAATATATATTTCAAGACACTGCTGTGCAAATTAAATGTTAATGATGGCTGTTTATTACTAAATGTTGAGTTAAGTAAATGAGGAAGTGTAAGTTTTCCTCTGCTCCCTGCTTCTCGGGCTATGTGGCCGGGAACCAATCAAATGCCTTTGAATTTTGTTTTTTCTCCTCAGTGAAATTGAGAGGGTGGGATCTCATTTGCCTCTGCATATTTTAAAAGTCCTAATTGTGTATAAGAATCATCAGATGGTATGCTACGGGTATTTTTCCTTCAGAAGTTGTTACTGCAGTAGATGTGCATTTGTGACTGATGCATAAAAATAAATTTCTTAAAAACTTTGGCAGACTATCAATATTTATGAAAAAAGTTAGTATTTTTAAAGCTTTTAGTTCTTTTAGTCTTCATTGTTAAAGTGTCCTCCCTGTTTTCCTAGCTAAGGTTTTGAAAGTGGTTACTGTATTTTTCTTCCTTAGATTTATTTAACGATTACCAACATTTGGTTTCTTGAAATGACAGAATAGCAGGTGATCTCTAGAAAAATACTCAACATTATACAGCATTTCTTAAAATCAGTACCTTGGCACTTGATTGGTTTTCCAGAGATATAATACTTAGATGGGTCTTATATTACTGGGCTATCAAATTGGAACTGTTAATAAATCTTTTATATCCAGTTATAGTTGTCCAGTGGTTGAAGGGAAAATTATTTGTAACACTAAACATTTAGTATCATTGTATTTTCTCAATTTGGAACTGATTAAAGACAAACCTTTGATTATTGTACAGGATGGCAGAAATGAAAATGATTATGATGATTATTGTTTGTACTGTTTTGTCACCTTAAAATGAGGGAAATCATATGCAGCAGAAGCTTTTTTTTCTGACTAGTAATAAATTAGGGTTTACTGATTTGGGGAATAATAAAATCTATCTATGTATGTATTTCTTCTGTTTGTTTGAGATGAGGTTTATTTTTCCTTTTTTAAAAGTGGAGATGTAATTCACATACCATAAAATGCACCCTTTAAAATGTATAGTTGAGTGTTTCCCACAGAATTGTGTACCAAAGTCACCATCTAATGCCAGGACACTTTCATCACTCCAAATTTACACCGTGTGCCCATTAGCAGTCACTCTCCTTTTCTCCTAATTCGCTTTCTGTTTTTGGAATTGTATATTCTAGACGTTTCTTGCAAATGGATTATATAGTATGTGAGCTTTTTCTGTTTTGGCTTCTTAGCATAATTCAGAATTCATCCGTGTTAGCATGTATCAGTGATCCATTCTCATTTTTAGTTGGACAATATTCCCTTTTATGTATGTATCACATTTGTTTATCCATTCATTTATTGGCGCCCATTTGGTTCCGTTCTACTTTTTCACTCGTATGCATAGTATTGCTGTGACTGCTTCTGTGCAAGTTTATTTGTGGACCTAAGTTTGCGCTTGTCTTGGCTATATACTAATGATGAGAATTGCTGAGCCATCTAGTAACTCTTGTGTTTAACTCTTTGAGGAAATGCCAAAGTATGTTCTAAAGCAGTTTTATCACTTTACTACCAGAAATACAGTTTCTCCATATCCTTACTCAGAGTTGTTGTTGTTGCCTTCCATTGTTCTCACATTTTCATGTGAAGCACAAAAGTCTGATATTTTTATGAAGTCCAATTTAGCACTTTTATTTTTGTTAATTTGCTTTTGGTGGTCTTTTTGAGAAACATTTGCATAACCCAAATCCCAAATGTTTATGTCTCTGTTTTCTTGTAAGAATTTAATGGTTTTCTTCCGTGTAGTTCTTGGGTCCATTTTTGAGTTGATTTTTATATATAATGAGTGTTAGGGATCCAATTTCACATAGTCCACATTCATTTATCCACCAGTGTTTGCATAGAAAGTCCATGCCCTTTCTGTGAGTGTTAGTTAAATGCTCTGGAGTTTAATGTGTCATCTTGTTTTATAAACTGTAGCCAATAGTACATGCTTTCCACAATTAGTTTCTTTAATGTGAAACTAGATCAAACAGATACTTTTAGAAAATAATCTGAGTTCAGAATCTTTTCACATTTTTTTACACTTTTCTTGTCCAGTTTTGCAAACATGACTTGTTCACACATCATTCACCTGTAGTTAAATATACAGAATCTTTCCAAAGAAACAGTACTATTTTATGAGATTCACATTTAGTTAAGACACTCAATTTTTATATGAGCTAACATGCAATTCAGTTGCAGTGAATGGTTGCAAGGGGAGGCAGCGTAGCTTAGTAGAAAGGAGCATACCAGTTCAGGATTCCCTGCACATCCCTGGTAGGAGTGATGAGGTATACTTTGTGAAGGTTAGGGATATTTCTGCACTGCTTTTATTTCAATAACTGTTAGTTACATTTTTATTACCTGTATTCTTGAGGAGGCGTGAACTGTGTTTTTTATATTTAGCAGAGAATACTATGAAGTCTAGTATAAAAACGATTTTCCAAAAATTATTAAAATAAGGATTTGGGGTATAAAAGAATGCTACTGTTAATGCAGCCAGCTCTTATCCTAACTTTTGACCATTTTATCTCTACAGTTTAGATTTTGAAGAATGTGCTCACAAATTGCTGAAAATGGAATTTCCTGAAAGTCAAACAGTACGTTAACACTATTTTCATTTGAAGATTTATAGTCTTGGAAACCTAAAAGGCAGTTCTACTGTCTTAGAGGCTCATAATGAGTTGGAATTGACTCAATGACAATGAATGAGAATGCCAGGACAAATATAGATCACAATAAGTCATCTTTTTTTCTAGTTGCTTTCTTACCTGTATTGTTCCTCACCCATAGATATTTCAGGTCCTTGGAGCCTGTACAAAGGCTTCGAATTTTGTATTTCACATGTTCCATTTTATATGGTAGGCATATAGCACAGATATAAAATTGAATGAATTAGCTCCAGTAGGCTATGTAGTTTTTAATTCTTTCATGGGATCTCATCGATTATGTGCGCGGTTACTATTATGTAGGTGTCTTTTGCTTTAGTGCTTTAAGTGTTCAATGATAAAGCATAGATCACTGTAAATGTATGGCTTATACAGTGTCCAGCAAGCTGTCGCTCAGGCCCACCTTATTTTTGCAAATAAAGTTTTATTGGAACATGTCAATGCTTATTTGTATTTATATTATCTATGGCTGCTTTCCTGTTACTGCAGCAGAGATTGAAATATGTTGCCCTTTACAGAAATAAGTTTGCTAATCTTTGTTCTAGAATATGGATTCACTCTTGAAATGCCATGATATGCGATCTTGAGAAAATTTTGTTTTCTGAAATTTAAAAGATGTTTCCCTTGTGAAGTTTGTTTATTGGTATACTAATAATAGAGTACTTATTCTTAATCCAATGTCATTAATATATTTTTGTCAGAAGAAAATAAATTAGTAAGTTAACTTTAAAAATCATTAATTGAAACTGAAATTTCTATATGTTCTTGTCACATTACTTGAGGAATATAATTAAGTCATTATAAATGTTATTGAGATTAGCCCAGAAGACAGTTGTTCTGGAGATAGCCTCCGCATATTGTGATAGTATTTAAAAGAAGGTCTTGGTGTATCTATTTTTGTGCTTAGGGTTACTCAAAAGAATCTCCTAAAAATCACTGTACTATTTAATTAAAATGTTAAAATACTTAATTATTGAACGCCACAGGGAATAACTCTTGTAATTGCATTTAGTCCGGCCAAGAAAGTAATTTGTTTTGCTTGTAAGGTTGACTTTATTAGTTGTGCTGTCAGCATATTACCATGGTTAATTGTTTAAAACTTGATTTACTGTTGTGCTATTTTAAAACAACATTGGTAGAAAAAGTTAAAATGTATTTAAATGTATAAGACTAGCATATCATGGCATAGTTCAGAAGTTTTTTGCATTGTATAACAAGTTCAGAGAGGTCGATCTTTTCAGAACTTAATGCATTTGCAAACATTGTATTGATTAAAGTAACTTTTGGTAAGTCTTTAAAAAACAATTGCCAGACACAACTTCTACAAATAGCTGTGGGTTGTGACATTAGGCGTTTGAGTTGGTTGTCGTTTCAGTAGACTCTCATTTTTAGGGTGGTGCAGTTCAGTGAATGTATTGGAGTGGTAGACACTCTCCTGGTCTGCTCTGTGAGTGGTAGAGGATTGTCTTCTGCCCTGTGCAGCAAGTACAGTGACCGCTGTCCACGTGTGGCTGTTAAGCACCTGTGGTGTAAGCATTCGAAATTTAAATCATGATTGATACACAGCTGTTGGTCACCATGCTGAAGAGCAGAGTTACAAGAGAGCCTCTCTGTACTGTCTCTCAAGGGCCTCCTTCCTTGCCCTGAGCCTCCTCTGGAGTCTCTCGCATACATTGTTTACATAAAGATAACCTAATTTTTTTTCTGTAACAGTAATCAGAGATTAATTTATGCCTTTATTCCTTTAGCCCATATTGGCCAACTGTCTTCATCTTTGAAATTGCTGTGACTATAGTACTTGTTTTGGTAGGGTTAATTCAAGAATTAATATTTGTTAATTCTGAATCTCTAATTCATTATGTTGATGGTATTTCCTAACCAAAGACTTATTAGTGCATCAGAATTTTGACTGGCAGGTTATTAAGTCTCTTCAATAACCTAACTGGACCAGGTATTCTGGCAGGAATTATGGGATGATTCCAGAGAGACCTCCATATGCACAGCATGTATTTTGAGATTAAAAATTTTAGCTGCTGGGGCATTTTTATTTGTTTTTTTACCTATATTTAAGTTTACTTCATCAACCAGAAAGTTTCCCAAGTTTGCATTAAAATTGTACACATTTATGCTTCATAAAGACTCAGTATGCTCTGCCTATCCATACTAGTAATTAGTAATTGAAGTTAAATTGTTGGGAAATATTTAAACTGTTGTTAAATGTTGTCTTGGTGGGTCTATATATAAAGAATTTTGCATATAATTCTTTAGAAATACAGTAGTTTAGTCTTTCTTGATTCTCATACCAGGGTTTGTGAAGTGGTTCATACTGTATAAATTTAGAATTTTTAAATTAATTTAATTAGTGTAAATGGCTGTCAAAGCTGTCACCTAGACAGAAGGCTTTAAAGAACTGAGCTTCAACAAGATCAAGAATTTTATTTTCTGGTTATGACTAATATTGACAAAGTTTGAAAAGTTTAGTGATTTTTAAAAGTAAAGCTGAAATATCTAAAAAACAATTATAATAAAATACCTGAAATATTTAGCCTCTATCTTACAGATAAATTATCTTATAGTATATATTTTGAATCGTTGATGCCATTGCTTTGTCCACAAATAGAAAGAACTCTGCAACATGATACTGGATTGCTGTGCCCAACAAAGGACCTATGAGAAATTTTTTGGCTTATTAGCTGGGGTGAGTTCTGTGCTCCTCAAAGGGCCCTCTTCTCCTTTGCCCTAAAAGATTCTTACCCTGAGTACTGTGAACTAATGTTTCTTCTTTATAGTCTGATCTAATACAACAGCGCATCTTTGCTGAAAATTAATTTTTCTTGATGTAGGTTTCTCCCTCTTGGAAACATTTTAGCAGTGCTTTGCATGAGGCACATTGGTGGCATAGTGGGTTATATGTTGGGCTGCTAACTGCAACATCAGCAGTTTGAATCCACCCTTCTCTCCCAAGGAGAACGATGAGGCTTTCTGCTCCTGTGGTGGTAGAGTGGTTACATGTTGGACTGCCAACAATTCAGAACCACCAGCCACTCTGAGGAAGAAAGACGGGCCTTTCCACTCCTGTAAAGAATTAGTCTCAGAAACTCACAAGGGCAATTCCACGCTGCCCTTTAGGGTCACTTTGAGTTGGCATCGACCTGATGGCAGTGAGTTTGGATTTTTTGGGAACAATTTACAACCTCAGGCCTCTATGAGTCAGAATTAACTTGATGGCAGTAGATTTGGTTTGGGTAATTTTTAACTTTGCTTTTTAATTTCCCATGCTTTTGTAACCATTTTCCAATGAGAGATAATTACTATTTTTTCAAAATCTCAAGACAGTTTCTGGTGTTAAGTACATTTTTAGCACAAATAAAGTGTGAGCTAAATTATTATTTTTAATCCAAATGATATTCATTACATAGAAGTATGCTTGCAGACTATACAATATCTTTGATCATCAGCATATTTAGAATTATTCTAGCAATAAGTCCCAAGTAGATCAAGGTCATATATTAAGTTCTTGAACATCCTCGAATACAATGCACGAAGATTTGGTGATTTCAAGATATATTAAATAATCGCTTCAGATTCAATAAATGTAGGAGGATTTAATGTGCATCTAATCTTACTGACATTGAGTTTTTTTATTTATTAGCGTTTTTGCATGCTAAAAAAAGAATACATGGAATCCTTTGAAAGCATATTCAAAGAACAGTATGATACTATTCATCGTTTAGAAACAAACAAATTGAGGAATGTTGCCAAGATGTTTGCTCATCTTTTATACACTGATTCCCTTCCATGGAGTGTAAGTAGATGGTTCAATATTTATACTTGTTTTTGATCCCTTATTATTCTAAAGTAGATATTAAGTATAATATAGTTATGTTTTTACTTGGGATATGTGCTTTTAATTATCTTTGAGACCATGTTCATATTGGTTAGTGTATAACATAGGCTCAAAAAGCTTTGTAGATATATATGCATTTAAGAAGTATCCTGGATTATATTAACAGCCCAGATACATCACAGAGCTTTTCAATAGTGATAGTTAGGATATTGCCAGGGTAAATGTTTGGGGTTTTAATATTCTCTGTGCACATATTCAGTATTTGGGTGACACATGCTTCTTTGAAGCTGTAAAGTGGAGGATTCCTGAGGCAAGACTGCAGAAAAGTGATTGTTGTAAGAGGATGTGTATATTGAAGCTGAGTGACAGGGAAGAATTTCTATAGTCTTGGTGGAAAATACTCACTCAATTGAAATTTGAATTGCGTCTTTTAGGCTGGCATTTACTGTACAACTGCTATTTACTCCGCAACTGTTTATGGGCCTACCACTCATTTGCCGGTCATATCGCTGCTCGGGGTCCAAAGTGAATTAAAGATGGTGACTGCTTAGCTTTCATTTCGACGAGGTTACCATATACGAGAAGAGGGAAAGTATACCCAAGAGTAGTGATAATACAAAGCAAAAAAAGTGGTTACATTATGTGCAAGTAAAGTTGCTAAAGAATTTTTTAAAAGAAATTACACACAGGGAAAGAGAAGAAAGAAGGCTGGGTGGATCACATTGTAGACTGTAACGGTAGAAGAAGGAAATGTTACTGGGTTTACACATGTTAGAAAATTCTTTAAAATTTTTCATTGTAAGTTGGCTGGACCCTAATTGTAATCAGTCTGACTTCCTTTTATTTCTTTTTTTAATTTTCAGGTTCTTGAATGTATAAAACTGAGTGAGGAAACTACTACATCATCCAGTAGAATTTTTGTGAAAATATTTTTTCAGGAATTATGTGAATACATGGGTCTTCCTAAACTTAATGCAAGATTAAAGGATGAGTAAGTTTATCACTATGCACTTTTAATTCAAATGGAAAGACTCCCGAATTAATTTCTCTGATTTAGTGAGAAAAAAACTAATTCCATATGCTAATTTCCATTGCTGATATTAAATACTTATAGGTTTATTTTCCTGTAACTCAAATTTTGAGCTTTGGGTGGTAATTAATTTTGATCATCAGTGGACATGTACAGATTCCCAGTCATGTGATCGTTCAAAGTACCACACTGAACTAGAGCTTTTTCCAAGACTATGTAATTCCTATCTCAACTTTATATGACTCATTACTACCAAGGTTGGCTTCTGTGCCCCCACCCCGCTGAAGTCCAAATCCAGTAGTCTTTGTCCTTTGTCACCCTCATGCCCCTTGATATTTTTGCCTCAAAATTTATACATGTTACCTTAATTCTCTTCTCAATCTCGTATCTCCACCTGAGTCTGCACCTCCAGTGTTAAAGTTTACCAAAGTTGTATCAGGGGTCCTATATCCTCTGCGGTATTCCATTAGTTTCTCACTGCATTGTGTAGTTAGCTATTTGGTACTTGTCTTCTGTTGTAAATGTATCTATTCCTTCCCTAGCACTCTAAAGATAACACCTTGTTAAGCAAGTCTGGCTCTTTATGTTTCCTTGTCTTTGATTCCGCTTGAGCACATCCTCTTGTTCTTTCTAGCAAATGCTTCATCATTCCTCATTTGTGTCCCCTTTTTCTATGAAACTGTCGCTCCTGAGTCATTCTGTGCTGGCACTCAGTACTTGCCAAACCACGTTGTTTGATGAAGCTTTTTCTACATGTGTCCCATCCTAATAGTGAATACAGGCAGCCTTTTCATTCTTTATTTATCCCTCTTGTTGATTACTTGTCCCTATCTTTCACTGCTTAGCACAATGTTGTGTTGGGTGCACGCCAACATCAGGATTTTTTCCCATGTATTTGGACACCCATGTACACATAAGCATATACATATATGTATATATGCCTCCTTTGTAAACCTGGTAAATGATATAAACCGCTTACCATACTTAATTTACTTTACTTAGTGTTTTATAAGTTAGAAAAATCTTGAGAAATGACTGTTTCTTTATTTTTAAGGTGTTCTTTTTAAGGTATTTTTTTCATTATTCTTTTTTAGAACTCTACAGCCATTCTTTGAAGGATTGCTACCCCGAGACAGTCCAAGAAACACTCGGTTTGCCATCAACTTTTTTACTTCTATCGGTCTTGGAGGCTTAACGTAAGAGCATTTTTCAGAGTCTTATTTGCACTCTACAGAATTGCTCCACCATTGCAGTGAAAGCAGGATCTAACATTGCATTTTTAATTAGGGATGAGTTGCGGGAGCATCTGAAAAATACACCAAAGGTCATCGTGGCGCAGAAACCAGATGTTGAGCAAAATAAGTCCTCTGCGTCTTCATCCTCTTCCGCATCGTCTTCTTCAGAATCTGCCTCCTCTGACTCGGATTCTGACAGCAGTGACAGCAGTTCAGAATCTTCCAGTGAAGAGAGCGAGTCTTCATCCACCAGTAGTCACAGCTCTGCAGGTACTGACGCACATCGTTTATCTTTTCCTTTCCTAACAAATAGACCGCTAGTGATGTTCAGTAAGGAAAAAATCTACTTTGATTGCTTAGTATTAAGTTGTTTAAAACCAAACCAGACTCACTGCCAACAGAGTCGATGCCAACTCATAGCAGCCCTGCAAGACAAGTGACGATAGGCAGTTTTAAGGCAAGGTAGAACTGCCCCCTGTGAGAAAGACTCATCTTTCTCCCACTCATTTGTTTAAAAAAACACTGTTAATTGTTTAAATGATTAATGATTTTGGTTCTAGATATAAGAACTCTAGTGGCACAATGGTTAAGCACTTGCTGTTAAGTGAAAGGTCAACATTTCAAACCCACCAAAAGAGATGTGGCAGCCAGCTCCCATAAGGAGGACAACCTTGGAAACCCTACCGGGAGTTCTAGTTTGTCCCATCAGGTCACTGTGAGTCAGAATCTATTCGTCGGCAGTGAGTTTGGGTTTATTCTTCACGGGCAGTTGGATTTATAGACATGCTCCCATGACAGTGCTCTTGCACGTGTCTTTGGATGACAGGGTGTACATCTGTGGCTATACCCAGTAGAATCACCCCCAGGGCAGGAGGGGAACGTATATTTAGTTTTAGTAGGTATGGTCATTGTTCCAAGTGAGAACTTCAGTGTGCATTCTCACCAGCCATTCCACTCTCACTCACACTTTATGGTTCCCAGTCTTTTCATGCAGCCATTCTGAGAGAAGCCCTGTTGCTTTAGTGGGTTACATGTTGAGCTAACAGCTAGGGCAGAGGTTCAACCCCACCAGTTTGCACTCCTCAAGGGAAGATGAGGCTCCCATAAAGATTTAAAGCCTTGGAAATCCAAAGGCTCTGTGGGGTAAGGTTGGTGTGAGTTGAAATTGGTTCAATGGTAGTGACTTCGAGAGGTGTATTGTGGTTTTGATAAATATTTCTTCGATTACCATTTTATATATGATTGACCATTTGGTTATTCTTTCTACTTTTAAAGGCTCCAGTATTTGCCCATTTGAAAATTACATGGTCTTTTCTACTGATTTGTAGCTCTTTATGTCTTCTGGGTGTTCATCTTTCGTTGCTTATATGTATTATAAATAACTAGCCCCACTTTTGTCTCTGACCCTCTGACCAGCTCTGCTGGCCTCTCTGTCTTTCAGCAGCAGCCCTGTGCCCAGACAAACTCTGGAATCAGCAAATGCTCCCAGGGACAAAGCCATTCCTCTTGGCTTACTTTTCTATGATTTCCCCCCTTTGCTGAATCTTGACCCCACGCTTCTATTGGATTTTCATTATTTTTTTATGCCTTTCTATACTTTTAACTTTTTATTTTAAACTAATTTTAGGCTTAGTGAAAAAAGGTTCAAAATAGCACAGGGAATTCCCATATAACTCTCATCCATTGTTCCCTAATAGTAGAATCCTATATAGCCATAGTTCAGTTATCAAAACCAGGAAATTAGTAGTAGAATAGCACAATTAAGTAAACAACAGATCTCATTTGACTTTTACCTGTTTTTTCATTAATGTCTTCTCCCATGGTCCAGAATTCTGTTTACATTAATTGTATGTCTCCTTACTCTTCTGCAGTCTGTCAGAGTTCCACTCAGTGTTTCCTTGTTTTTTGTTATATTTTATTGGGGGCTCTTACAGCATGCATACATTCTTTACATCAGTTGTATCAAACATATTTGTACATATGTTGCTATCATCATTTCCAAAACATTTTCTACTTGAGCCCTTGGTATAATCTCCTTTTTCCCATCCCTCCCCTAACCTTCGTGAATCCTTGATCAATTATATATTGTATCTTTTGTATCTTTTAAAAAATTATTATTTTGTATCTTACACCGTCTTTTGTCTCCTTTCACCCACATGACTGTTATTCGTCCCCTTGTGGGGGGAAGCTATATATCCCACCTTGTGATGGGTTCTCCCTTTCTTCCGCTTCCCCTTCCCCGTTCATCCCCATACCCTCATGATATCACTACTCCCACTACTGATCCTGAATTCCATGTGTCGAGAGTTCTTATCTGTACCCATGTGTGTTCTCCAGTCTAGGCAGATTTGTAAGGCAGAGCTAGGTCATGGTAGTGGGCAAGGGGCGCTTGTGGGGGCATTCAGGAACTACAGGAATTATGTGATTCTTCAATGCTGTGCTACACCTGGGTTGAATCTTCCCTTCCTTATAACCCTTCTGTAGGGCGATATCCAGTTGTCTATAGATGGGCTTTGGGTCTCCACTACAACTCCTTTTGTTCACATCATTATAGTTGTTTGTTTGGGATCTTTTGATCCCATCGACACCTCATGATCACACAGGCTGGTGTGCTTCTTCCATGTGGACTTATTTGCTTCCCTGCTAGATGGCTGCTTGTTTAACTTCAAGCCTTTAACCCTATAATGCCTGAATTTGTAATTTCAGGGGAAAAAAATTTTTTTTATTCGTTACTTTCATAGGTATCAATATATGTAACAACCAAAATATATTAAAAAAAATAAAATTTGCAACGTTTTTTAAATGTAACCAGATCATCACATTCATCCATGGATTTATAATACAAGAATAAAAAATGCACCTTCATTTCTATTATTATTTTTCATCGTATTTTATTATTAAATAAAACAACAAACCAATAACTTATTTTATTTATTTATAAAATATAATACAAAATTTATTTGTTTATAATTTTAGTGTGAAATTGAACAAAACAATTTTTTTCATTTGTGATACAAAGATGAACATTCCATTTGCTGCATAAAAATACTGGTGCACTCTTTCAGTTTATATTTTTGCATCTTCCTCTGTTTGTGACCTCAGGCTAATGGTGAAGACCATCCAAACGGGTGTCTCTACCAGGGATACTTTCAGTGGCAGGACCTCTTCTCTTTCTGTAGCAAACTCAGCATCAGGAAAGCTGGTAGAAGGTCGGCCTCTTTTTGTTGGTCTATTCCCTTCTCCTTCAAGAAGAAGAGCTTCGGCGATGCTCATTTTGAACTCTTGCAGACTTTGGATTTTTTTTTTTTTTTTTTTGGTAACCGAAGGCTCTCACAGTCTCTATGATAAAGTGGGCTAGAGTTCACAACAGTCACATCTATAAAATGAAAAAATTAATTTGTGATAATATTTTTTCGATCTGATGTGAATTCTGTACAGTGCAATTAGTGAGTGTATCAAATCAAGCAGTGTACCCCAAAATTGCTCAAGTTCCTGGTTACTCCGTGCAAGAGGTTAATTCGGATTTTGCTGGATTGCATAAAGATTTGATTGGTCGACAATATGAATAATGATATCCTTTGAGGAAAAAATGCCTAAAATATTCAACAAGACGTATTACTACCCCAGAAGAATCTATTTGTCCTAACCATTCAGGCATAAGTTTAGCTGTACCGTCTCCAGAAATGTGCCACCAAAGAGGAATTCTTCAATTTCTTGATGTAGCTGGCTTTGAACTTGTAGGTATTGGAACTGATACTTCAACAACTGATGTTTCTAACTCATCTTCACTTGTATTATCATTACTAACTACGAGGTCTTCTAATTCATCCAAATCAGAATAATCAGGCGTATATTCACTTCCTATATGGGGAAAAATAAATATTGTTATCAAAATAGCTTTAATAGCAATATAATTAAAATTATATATTGTAAAATAAAAATGTTTTAATATAATACACATTTTTATTTACCAATTTCATCCGTATTAGCATCTGGTTCCTTGTTTGAGTCTGTACCGCTTCCATCTAGGTCATAAATTCACCGTTTTCCATAAAACAAGTCACAATCCATGCTGTGGTAATTTTTGTCACCATCGATTCAAAAGACGAACGTAACAAATTGGTTATATTTAGAAAAAGCGGAAATATATAATAAATATAATGGGGGTTTTTTTTAGTATTACACCTTTGACATAACTAGTTTTATGAACATATACAAAAAATATCAACACTGAAACTTCACTAGATTGAAAATTATCGTAAAATGCACTGAACGCAAACTACCACTTAACCTCAAACGCACCATCAGTCAAAACATGTGCCACGATTCAAGCATTTTGCCACTAAATGTGTGACTAGCGGTATGCATTTGTACTACTAAAGTGCGACGATTTCTTCGACATCTGCATCAGCTCCAAAAGCTTTATAATTTCAGTACCAGATACGTTTTAATTAAATGTTATGAAAACGTTGCACTTGGCGTTATAGGGTTAAGACCTCAGACACTATATCTTTTGATAGCCAGGGACCATCTGCTCTCTTCAGCGCATTTACTTATGCACCCTTTTTCTTTTCAGCAATTGTGTCCTGAAAGATGAGTATCAAAGAGTGCCAGATTATCAGAACAAAGTGTTCTTGTATTAAGGGAGGCCTTGAGTAGAGGCCCAAAGTCCGTCTGCTATCATAATACTTAACATATAAATATATGTACATTGGCCTCTGGCCCTTTCATTATAAATGAATATATTTATATATATACATGTCTATAGCTCCGTAAAAAGCTTTTGCCTCCCATTTCTTTTCTCTATTTCCTTTCACCTTCCTCCTATCCCACTATCATGCTCACCCCCCATTCGCCTCTCAGTAATACCTCTCAGATACATTATGCTTGATTAAATCCCACTAGGCATTATACACCTCTTTGCCATCAATTTTAGATCTCTTGTTCCTTATCCCTGAGTTTGTTGACTCCCCACTCTCCCTCCACACCCCCTTCTCTCCCCTGTCCTGTCGTCCTGCACCCCCCACCCTCCCAACCGCATTTCCCATTGTTTTCTCCTTGGGATTGTTCGTCCTGCCGATCTTATATAGAATATAGATAACATAAGGTGAAAGAAAACCAAAAACAAACTTAACAAGGAAAAAAAAGCCCATAGTTTCAGGTCTGTCTGCTGACCCTTATGTATGTTTTCTAATCAAGTCTGCTGAGGTGCCAACCCCTATCCCCCAAGTCAGAAGTCTATTTTCAGGATTCGTCGGAGACTTGGTTACTTTGCCCCCCTGGCTACCCTGTTGTCCTCCCTTCATGCTTCATCGCTCTGCAAGGGGAAGACGGGCACACTTTCTGCACTTGATACTTTTGAAGTCTCTTGGTCAATTCAATCATCTTATGGCATCTCCTTTAGTCTAGATTGTTCTGCTGTTTCCTCACAATTAGAATGAGATTGTGAATTTGGGGAAAATATGCTATAGAAATTACATGTTCCTTTAAGTGCATATCAAGGGATTCATAATCCTGGATGTGTTTTCTTACTCTTTAAAGTCTTCTGCAAGAAAGAAACGTCTCTTCTACCACTCATACTTATTTACTCACTCACTGATACTGGGGCTTCAAAAAGTTCATGGGAAAATGGAGTTAAAAGACACGTAATTTTCCCATAAGCTTTCTGAAGCTCCATTTTATATCAGTGTGGACTCTTACACGTTTTTTTTTAATGTAGTTCAAATAATTCCTGCCTTGACAATTAGGAAGGAGTGTGCTGGGTTGATTGCTGGGTTCATTTGACACACCCACATCCTTCTTTAGAACACATCCTTCATGGCAGCACAAGTTGTTGTAGTGTTTCAGTGCCTTCAAACAAGGATTTTCACTTTATCCGGCATTTTGCGTTCTCAGCTGGAGCATAGGTCAGTCACAAGCTTTTCTATCCGATTTTGAAATAGAAGCTGTAGGAAAGGGTTTTTAAAAACATTCCATCATCATAGTTTGATTTTAGCGCAGCTTTCCTGCCGAGGTCTGTGCTGGTTTCCCCACGCTCAGCCCTGCTTTCGTTCCCCTAGTCTTCACCGGGGTTTACTCTTTTGTCCTCAGGGTTGTGTGGATGTCATTCTAGATCGTGTGTGTTTGTTTTTCTTATATCATGTTTGAGAGAGTTAGCACTTTCCCCTACAATCTTATATTGAAGACTAAGCATTGCCCCCTACACCATTTAGAATTCATGGTGTTTCAGTCCAGAATTACAGGACTTTATAAATATTTTATGATATCAAAGCAGGATTCTGTGTACTCACAAGATGTCTTCCTTTTGAATTATAATGTCCATTGACCATTCACCTTTTTTAATGCTAAAGAATTTGTTATTTCATGGTGTTTGTTTTGAGAACAGATGATGACACAGCATGAGTTGTTGCAGTACGCAAGCTTGCTGATTCAAAATTAATTTGCCTTATGCAATTTGAGTGGAAATTTTTTACATTTTAATAGGATATAAAATAACATAAAAGGTAGTATAAACCGACCTCAAATTAGAATATTATAGAGCACATTTAGCAGAAGAAGACAAGATCATATTTTGTTATGTGATTGCTTTTCATCATTCAAAACACTGAGTAATGTAAGGTAGGTAGAGAGAGATGTTCGTTTAGCACAGAGCCAGATGGTTTCTGCTTGGGTAACTGAAACTCAGCTGAGCTATTTGATGGGAACCAGAAAAGTAAGCCCTTAGTGGCAAACCAACTGACTTACTAAACAGTGTGCCAAGAAAATACATTTGGCAGAAGTAGAGATTGGCACAGTGAGGTCTGAGTGAAGGTAGGGCAAGGGAAGGCCATTTTCTGCCACACTTTCCTCTCTGTAATCATATAAATTTGACTGAGATTTTGGTCACTTCAGCACCTTTGATTTATGTGCCCAACAGTGGAGTTCTGTCACTAAATCTTTATTTGTGATCATTTGAGTAAAGTTCTTCAAGGGCTTTTGGGAAAGGTTTTCTCAAAAAAAGTACTGTATATGCTCGAGTATAAGTCGACCCAAATATCAGCCTAGGCACCTAATTTTATATTAGGGGTTCATACAACTCTTACCATAATCCATACATACATTAATTGTGTAAAGCACATTTGTACGTCCATTGCCTTCATCATTCTTAAAACATTTGCTCTCCACTTAAGCCC